GAGCGCGCCGCCTCCTGCCCTCGCGCCGGCTCTGTCTCGGTCTCTCAGAGCTGCACGCTCTGCGGAGCTCCTGTCAGTGCCGTCGCCTCGGCAGCGGCTTTCTAGCCCGGCGGCTCAGCCTCGGCCCTTCAGCGCCGCGTCTCAGGCTGCCTTCCCTCCCTCCACCACTCCCCTTCCCTTTCCCGCTCTTCTCTCCCACACGGTCCACCGAGAGAGCCTGGACACGAAGATAGCGGGCTTGAGAAAGGGGCTGGGAAAATGGAGGTGCCGCGCCTGGAGCATACCCTCAACAGCCCCACCAGCCCGTGTGAGGAGGTGATCAAAAACCTCAGCCTGGAGGCCATTCAGCTGTGCGACCGGGACGGTAAGAGCGGGACCTTGAGGGGGGCCGAACCCGCGCTCGGGCGTCGCGGCTGCCGGGGCTCCGCCGACCCTGCCCGCCCGGGCGGCGGGGTCTTTTGTTGTTCTCCCGACCCCCGTGCAAATGAATGCTGGTGGGGGCTTCTTTTCGCCTACCTACCCTCCCCTCAGACTCCAGAAACAAAAGGACCCCGGGGCTCGCGCGTTGGCGCGGAAAGTCGCCGTCGTCCTCGGCCGTGGCGCTTCTCGCCGTCCTCGCCTGCCTGGCCCGGGTCGAGGGGCCGCCCCCGCTAGGGCGCAGTTGCAGCCGACGGTTCCTGCCCGGGATGAGGCGTTTCCGATCTTTGCCGCAGTCCCGCTTTCCTGGGTCTCCTGGCACCGAAGGGGAGATACCCTCAGGATGTTTCTAGCATCCCCTCCTCCCCGTACATATTGGTTAGCGGTCTCTGCCCAGAAACTTAACAGTTTCTTTTTTGAACCTCCCATCTTCAGACCTCCTACGTTTAGAAGCCTTTTTATCCTCTCAAAACGGGATTGGGGTGACAGCTTCGTTTCAGTGAAAGGGCAGAAAGAGTACGTTTCAGCACCAAGGACAGCCACAAGCTTCATGGTTTGGGGCTGCGATTCAGATACTAGAAAATCTGTAAAGGAAGTGGCCTAATATATCTGCTGTGATTCAGAATACGTGGCGAGTACTCACCATTGTGTCTTGATATTATATCACTTATTCTGTTGTTAAAGTTGGTAGTCTTCTAAAGAAGGAAATTGATTAAGCATAGGTCTGAGTGTTAAAGAGATAAACTAGTACTGTATGCAGTATGGTTAGTTATAGGGCTTCTGTTCTAGTTGGAGTAGTTGGAGAGTTGGTGCTGTTTCAGTAGTGTGGAATAAAACTTCATTTGTAAAGAAGTCATCTGGTTAGTATTAATTGGCCAAATAATTGTAAAATTGTACATCTGACAAAGAGAAAACCATTTACATGTTGTTAAGATGATCCCAAACAGTTTTGGCTATAAATGAAATTAATGTTTAACTGTGTATAGAGATTATGATTTTAAAATGCTTTTTAGCCAAGGTTATGTAGGTATACTAATAACCTCACAATTGAGGTCGTAAAATTGATCAGTATGTAATCCAACAGGAGGGCTGAGGTCTTGTTTCCAGAGTCATTTAAATGGTGGTAACTTAGGCGTTGCTATACAGTACAGTTTAGGTCAACTGAACACCGAGTTTCCATTTATTTATAAATTTAGGATAATTGCTCTTTGAGTAATTACTCTTTGAAGCCAACGCCACTTTAAATAATTCTGAAACAGAAAACAAATAATTCTGAACCAGGTGTAGTATGAATAATATTCTTGTAACAGCTACCTATATTTCTCTTATTCTTAGACTAGTTTGGTCACCATAGTAATAGGTGCACATATTTATGGCATCTAAAAAAACTCCTTGTTTTGGTATTCCATATATAAGCCTGCACTGTTAGACCATGCAGATTATTTTTAATATACCACGTAGGAAGTCCTATGGGTTTTAGTTTATGCTTTTGTGAAATGACGTTTTCTAATTTTACCATTGTAAATATTTTGATTTTTCTAGATTGGTTGGACAGAAAACCAAGAGTCTAATAATAGTAGATTTTATTTTCATTTACTTCAATGATTTATCAAAAGCCCATTACTATAGTTATTGGAAACAGGCAATCAATGGTTGCTCCTCAGAAGCCAGTGATCAATATTTAAAATTTCATTTACCACGTTGCAAAGATTCTAAAAAAAATAAAGTTTTAAAAATTATATTTAGAGTTAATAGTGTAGAGTATAAAAATTAATGTGCTGCATTTACCATTGTCTCTTCTCCGAGTAGTAGTTATTTTATTTTGGCAATATTTTTTAGTTGTTTCAGTTCACATTATTAATCCTGCAAAATGAGCAAATTATATAATGTTTCATTTTGGGGGGTACTGGTAGTAGGCAGTATCTATAAAAATTACTGCTTATTTGCGGATTTCTAATTGATTCAACATAGATTAATTAAATAGTGTTTCATTTTATAAAATAGCTTATACCAACAAATACAAAGAGCTAACTCTTTTATTGAAGGATGTGGAATTTGAACATATCTTGTGTAAAGATGTTGTTAAATGCCTAACTTTTCTTTTTGTGACTCTATATGTCAAATCCAAAAATGTTAATTTGGCCTCATAGGGATAATTTAGAGATGATACAATTATTTTTACAGAACAACTTTTAAATGTTCCTTTAAGTTTTTCAACTAGATTTTATTTATCATAATTTTATATTGAGAAATGTTCAGGTAGATGCTATTTCCTTCCTTCACTCCCTTTTGGTCTCTCTCAGGTCTCATTATTTTACCTCTATAAATATAGAACATAGAAAAATTAGTATGTGACAGATCTATCATGTGCTTAAGTACATATTAAGTGCTATATTTTCATAATTTGATAATTATAGAAATAGATTTGTCTTGTTTGCTCTTTACTTTTCTTTATTTTACTCTATTCTGATGATGGGAAAAAATTAGAACAACATTAAATCCTTGGAAGTGAAATAAAATAGATTAAGAAAAAGTGTCATATGATTATTTAATAAAAATCTTTTTACCCTCTCCACTTATAGACATTTTAAATTTTATAATATTTTGCATATCAATTAAGAGCTGTAGCTGTTGGTAAACATAACTGCATGTCTTATGTTTTCCTGGCTCTCCTCTTTTATGTTTGTTTTTTTTCTGTCTAGTTTCTAATAAATTAACCTGTTTACATTATTAGCAACAATTTACAATGCTTCTTTTTCTCACAGTTCCTCAAAATATTTAATAATCTCTGAAGAATATGGAATAGAGTCCAAGTGGTCATATAATTGGATTTTTTAATTAAGCAAGAGGGTTCTTATACACATACATTATTTCATGTGTGCTTTTATCCTAAGCATGTGCATTTTGGTTGTGAGTATGTGGCCCTTCCTAGATGTTACCAGTAGTTCAAAATGAGGATTCTGGATAGACTTCTGTTGGGGAGCCTCTGAAGATGTACTGTAGATCTAGTAGTTTCTATAATCTCTGTTGTAAGTGAAGGAGTGTTTCTGATTTTCCATCTCTGCTGTGCTGAAGCATCCTCAAGTTGCATATATTATGTACTTTAATTGTGGCTTTTCAAAAAAAATCAAAGAAAAAAACATTAATATCTCATCTGGAAGCATCAGTAATATGGGAACTCATTTCCAGTTTTATTTCTTCATATAGATACTTCAGACCCTCACTGACTTATGATATGACAAAACAGCTCTGACCCCACACATAGAATTCTATATTAGTTCTCTTCATCTTTTTTATCATGCATATACATATTGAAGCTTTCTTTCCTTGCTGAGAAGAAAAGATGAATCTTTATGTTGTTTTATATACAGCCAAGCCCCTGTACTCTTGTTATACTCGTAAGGAAGAAAATACAAAATTAATTTGTTGTGCAGCACTTAAATTCACCCCCAAGGCATTCTAGCTTTAACAAGTATTATTTCCATGATTAGAGCATTATGACTGCCTAGATATGGTTTGTGGAGTTTATGATGCTAGTTAGCAAGGGAACACATTTTAAAGAAATTGCACAGACAGAAGCTGGCCCATTTCCCTGTCTTTGTCTCTAATAGTAGTTTTGTGGAGGAAAAGGAAAAAAGTTTTTTCTTTTACATATTTTAAAAGATAAATTTCTTTGAATTTGAACTCTATCATATTTATTTAAATTATAAATCGGTTCTTTTTTATCCTTATTGACATGTGACTTAAATTTTAATTTTGGAAATAAAGTAATACAGAAGTGCTTAGTAGCACGATGGAGTTAAATAATTCCTTTTTAATATTTTATTTACTTGGGGGGGTTATTTGTTTTTTGGGTTTTTTGCAGGGAAGAAGTAATTGGGTTTATTTATTTTTTTAGTTATTTTAATGGAGGTACCGGGGATTGAACCCAGGGCCTTGTGCATGCTAAGCAAGCACTCTACCACCGAGCTATACCCTCCCTCCCCTCTGTATTAGATAATTCTTAATGACATTTTCTAAAGCAGAAACCTAGGAAGAATTCTCTTAACTATTACCTTTAATAGTACAAGAATGCAGGGTAGGCACTACTCAATCTCACTGACATGCACACAGCACGGTGGTAATACGTACATTTTAGAGTCAGCCTCTGACACAATATTGATAGCTATGTTACCCTAGGCAAATTATTTAACCTTTTTTTAGCCTCAAGTTTTCTCATGTAAAATGAGTATAATTCAGTTTTGTAGGGTTGTTGAAACAATTAAATGAAGTATTACTTATGTAACATTTCTCACAATTCTTGACACAAATAGAGAATAATAATTATTACTGTAAATGGAATATTATTCTCCACATGCCTTCTTGAGTTGAACTGCTGCTTTTTAACTCATCATTTTTGGCCAGTGTTTAGATCTTTGGGTTGTTTTTTTGTGTGTGTGTCAGTTATATTTGGTTTACGTAGCAAATCCTTCTTATGTCACTTCATGAGTAGTCAGTGGAAACTATAAATTCTGAATTTTAAAAGAATAGTAAAATCACAGTTACAGTACTTTATCCTTTGCTGATATTTCTCTATCCCATCAGTAATATCCTCAGTATTAATCCTTAAAGCTATTTTCAGCTTCTACTTCAAATCTGCTGTTTGCAGTTGCTTTGATGACCTTGATACCTACTTTGGGTAGGTATCTGCATCAGAGCCCTTCTCTGTTCTTTATTTAACAATTTTTTTTTAGGATTTTTTTTTAAATATACATCCGTACTGGCACATGTGACCTCTGGATTCGTTTCTTTAGATATGACTATAGAAATGCTGTCCATTTTTATTAGTATGAAACAACCCAAAAACAAAATAAAAACTAAAAGAAACAAACAAAAAGCTTGAAAAACATCAGTTTACATTAAACAAATTTATATTCTTGGTAGGGTTTCTAATTCATTTCCAGAGAAGACCAGGAAGTTATTAGAATAAAAGTCACATCAAAGGATGTGTGACCAGACTCCCTCCAGTGGTAGAATGACTGATATGTCATAAGTAGTAACACTGGCAACTTGCTTTGTTGCCTAGGTAAGTAAGCCAGTTAGAAATTCACTCCATAGAACACTATCTAGACAACTTCCAAGTCACTTTTTTTCATCGCTGCTGCTGTTTCCTTGTCTTTAGGTCTGAGTTTGATTTTTCCTTTAAATTAGGTGAGTAGTTTCATGATAACTTTTATATTTCATCCTGGTTTTTAGGAATAATGGCAGCTGTATCAGTTACTGCAGTAAGCATAATTCTTCTACTTTTTGGTTTTCCTTCTCTGCCCTTAGTAGATGTATAATTTAAGTTTTCTTTATAGCATTTACCTCTTTCTTGGGTTTGTTTTCCTTTTCTTTTCAATTTCCCTGTAAGAATCTTTTTATTGTTTGTGAATTATTTAAAGTCTGTCTACCATTCTAAAGCATTTGCCTCATTTTAACTGTTTAAAATATTTTATTATTACTAGACAGTAGTTAAACTGTCTTATTAACATGTCTGTATTTTATACAAATACGTTTGAGAAGTAAAATTAGAATTTGGGAAGACTTGTACAGCAATAGAAGAGTTGAAGAGTCTCAACAGGAAAAACAGGCAGCCTCGGGCGTGTTCTCTACATGGGAGGACAGTAAGCAGGAACGGTACTAAAGAAACCCAAAAAATCATTACCGAGCATTTGTGATTGAATTTTCAAACAAAATGGAAAGTGACCAGGACTACTTTAGGATTTAAAGTCTGGGAAATCAGAAGACTCATTGACAAGAAAGAAAAAAAGGAGAAAGGAAATAGTATTTAGACATCATGATGACAGTATTTTACATCTCAAATTTGAGGTCTCATTGGACGCCTAAATAAGTCCCAAGCCCTTTTCCAGAGGCACTTCCCTCTCAGAGAAATCATATTCCCAGAACAGTGTTATATACTGCCTTCTTACTGCTTCAGTGGGGATCCCCACAAGAGAACACATTTACATTCTTTTTAGACTCTCCTTTTTCTTGATCCCCACTGTTTAGGGCTATTCATCATCCAATGATAATATTATCAGAATCATTACTAGATAAAAACTAAACCACTTGATACCTTATAAAGCATTATGAAACAGAGATTTTTGAGTCATCTGCATAAAGGTAGTTTTAGAGTCTTAGGAGAATTTTCACAGGCATTTAGTAGAAAATGAAAAGAATTTGGAACATTAAGACTTTTGAAATCTAACATAAGAGACTTCCTTGGAAACTTGAACATTTAGCAACTCCACTTGTGTTCTAGGGGGAAAAGTTCCAGAATGAAGAAGAGAATTGTTCATAGAACTATATATTCCACTAGGGAGACTACAACCTAGGTGAAAAGGAAATATTAAAATTTGACTTCAGTTTGGGAGTGACCTCTAATGAGCTTTGTGTTTTACCCTTTGAACATGAGGAATGATCACATGCTGGGGAGGCTAATTTTAAACACCAAAGATGAAATAAATCTACAATACGGGTTTTTAAAAAATGTAAACAAGTGCTCTGCATTTTGAACTCGCTCACTAGATGCAAGCTGAACAAAAAGCATCATACTCTGAATTGTGGTTAGTTTTGTTTGTGATATTATGATTATTTGGGCTAAGTTTGTGGTTTGTTTTAAAGGGGTTGTGGGATTTTTGCATATATACTGTTAGTTGTAGTGGTTGTGGCAACCAGTATAGATAAATCTTTTTGTTCTCTATAGCCTGTGGAAGTGTTGCTATCTAATAATAGTATGAAAGGCTTATAACTTCCCTAGACATATGCTATGCCATTAAAGACAAGGCACAACATTTTTTTCATATGCTTTCTTTGAGTTTTTTGAGAAATAGTAAGAATTTTTTCCCAAAGTTAAATCAGTGTAAGCCCTTTTGGAGGAGAGTGATAAAACTGATTCATACATCAGTTCATTTTTTTCATTGTTTAGTGAGAAAATAATGTGTCTTGTAATATTCTGTGATACTTGTTGATAACATTTTTAAAACAGTCAGATTTGTGCTGATCTCTGTTAAAATTTCAGAATAGCTTAATTTGATTTATTTGAATGATGAATCTTAACTCTAAGGATCAATTTCATTACTGATAGTTTATCTGCATTTATAAGCTTGGTAATTTGTTGACTGTATTGTCAAATCCAGTTTTTTCAGCTTGTTACAAAGTTATATAATCAAATAAGTTTGCCTAATATTTATGTTTGAAAGATATTTGTCAAAGGACTTTTTAATTAATAAAGTGTTTCATATTTCTTTTGAAATATTTATACTGTGCTTCAGGATACCCACCTAAGTTTGGTGTGAAAAAATTAACTTTGAAATTTTCTATCTGTACCATTACAGTTAGCTCAAAAAAATAGGAGAAAAATCCATCAATTTAAATGATTGTCTATATGTAATTAGGCAAAACTATATTGAAATATCTTAATACCCAGTCCTGATTACTGAACAATTCCTACTCAATGAAAGCTGACAATAGCTTTTACAGGATTTAAAAAAATTTTTATCTACTTCCCTCAATATAGTTATCTCAATAATTCTGACAGTTTAGTTGATGGTGTGTTGATGGTAATGGAGACATTAAAATTTTCTTGTCCATTGTGTGTTGTTTTTAGCATCCTTGAATTTACCTATTTGGGAAGTTTTAACAAAAGTAAATGGAGAGACGTGCCACATTCGTATTCTCATGCAGTTAAATTGGAAAGATACTGCATAATCTCAACATTTGAATTAAGCATAGGTGATGAATAATTTTGTATTCTCTGCATTTTTAGTCATGTACCAATATTTCTTTCAGTTTTTTGATAACAATTTACCAATTTAACATATTTGTTGCACTGTCATGCAGGATTTACTTAGATTTTTTTCCAGTTGTGTATGCTGTTGTTTATAGGTGATGACTTTGTTCCGAGCACATTTTAACTGCTAGATTTACAATAACTTTAGGCATACTTCTTTTTTCAAAATTACAGAACTTTCAAAGACCATATCATTACAGGTTCCCCCCAACTCCATATCCAAAGGAAGAGCGTATCTCTGAAAGCTTTCCTAAGCCAAAGTGATGTAAAGTGAAGAAGCAATTACCTTAGGACACATCTTGCTAATGGATGCACAAAATAAATCCATATAAAGCACAGGGGCTCACAGACAGTTCAGAGTTCTGGCGGCTTGATGCTGAATGCTGACTGTAGTTCCCAGGGAGGAAGTTGGCTGTGCTGCTCTCCCTGCTCAGGGTACATACTGCCTCAGTAATGGCTCCCTGCAAAACGGATGCTGAAGACTATATTAGCTTTTCACCTTTCTTTGGTAGAAGGGAAAATCCTCTTTGGAATTTTTTGGTTAGCAAAAACAGGTACTACTGTAGATATTTTGTAAGAGCCAAGTGGTGTAAAGCAAATTTTCGGAATGCAGAGAATATCTGTATTTGCAAAACCTTGACTACGAAACCCCATGAAAATTTACCGGTTTTTATCACTACAGTGTAAATTCTACCAACAGATGACTACCATTGAAATTTAACATTGTATTTTAGCTTTAGTGAGAGCTCCCAAATGTTAGCTGAAAAATCAACTGCTACTAATTAGTAAAGACTTTGAGACACCTGGAGCCAATTCTGTCTTAATGTTACGTCAATTGTTAACATTTGTTAAACATTCCTGCTTTTAACTAAGGATCCAGTTCTAGTTTTATAGGTAATTATTTCATAACCTATGCTGGAAAAAGTGTAACTCTAACCCAAACTCAGAATAACTTCACAAATAAAAAGAAGTTCATAAAATTCAAAATGAACCCTCTATTTAATTTGTTCTGATGAGTTGAAGGGCCAGATGGACCTGAGCCTTGCCTGCAACTAATTGAACGCTGCATGCAAGCACATAATGTTTGCAAAAATTTTACTTGAGTAATACTTGCTGACTTAAAGAAAACAAACATGAAACATGATCAGTGCCATAACTTTTTATACATTGTGCCATTTTGTGCACTGAAGTAACAGGCAAAGTTTTATTTTGATGTTTATGCTAAATCATAATACATCACAATTTAATGTATGCTGTAGTATAGTTTTTAAAATAGTTCAAAGTTATTAAGAAGAAAGTTAAATGATACTGTTTGCTGAACCTCTTAATCAGCTGTGTGTTAAAAAAAAAATGAAATCACTTGTCAGAACCAGTTTAAGCCATTGGTTCTCAAAATTTATCACCTGGAGGGCTTGTTAAAACAGATTGCTTGACCCCACCCACAGTTTCTGATTCGTTAGTTCTGGGGTGGAGCCCAAGAATTAGCATGTCTAACACATTTCCAGGTAATGCTGATGTTGGTGATTCAGAGACCACACTTGGAGAACCGCGCTCCGGGTAGCTTGACCAACGATGTTCTTAGGTAAGGAAGAGATATTACATATCTGGCTTTAATATATCATTTTGAGGAATGAACTGGGATATTGAGCTCAAGCGTCTAACCTCTTACAGGGCAGTTAGAGATAATAGGAATTTTAAGAAAAGGTAGATAAAAATTAGGGGTGGAATTGAACATTTTTGAAGTGAAAATCTGTTAACTTTGTAATTAAACTGAAAGTGTGAGGTATGAAAAAGGAATTGTTGTTAATGGCTAAATTTGCTAGATTGGGAGATTGGGTACATTTTGACACCAGTAAATAAAGTAGAAATTGTTGGCTGGAGAGAATATGAAGGAAAAGCTTTGATAACAGGCTATTGACAAGCTATTAAAGTGTTTTCTGGATAAGTTAGGTTTGAAATGTTTGTGGAATACCTACCTAGATGGAAATGTCCAGAGGTTGTTAGATATATCTATTTGTGTCTCATAGGAAGGGAGTTTGAGGCTTAAGATGAAATTTGGTGGTCCTCTATAAGCTGTTTTTCTGTTGCTCCTGTATCTCCTTTATTAAGTGTTTCTTCCCTCATCTTCTTGTCAGTCTTTTAGACTCATGTCAGATTGTTGAACCGCTTATTAGAGTGAGTAAATTCAAAAGTTGGCGTCTTTTTTGTGGTGTCTAAAAGGAGCATTTGAAAATTAATTACTTTTGATAGAACTAACTGTGGCTTGGGAGTGGTTATTTGGGGCAGTTCACATGGAGGAATAACACTGACCTAAGTTCTATACTCGGTAGATTTCTCTCCCTTATATTGATGGAAAAAGTTAAATGTATGATTTTCTGTGCTTACTGTGAAAATACACTGGACTAATTTTTCCCTCCTTGGCAACATAAAATTGGCAACAGTGCATAAAATAAACTGTTGGAACTCAAATTAGCAGAAAAATAATGACACTGGAGCCTAAAGAAAAACTAAAATCTTCACCAAAGCTATTTCTAAAGCTTTCATACTGAACATGTACTTCCAAGACTTTCTTTTGACTTTAAACATGCTAATTGTAATGTTACTGTGGTATGTATTGGATGCTAGTCTAAATAAGACACAGTTTTTTTTACACTTAATTTTTGTTCCTTGCAGATTTGGGGGTCTAAACTTAGATAAATCTTCCATTTTAATAATAGTTTTTATGTAACTTTTTCAAGCTGCACTAAGTTTGGGTGTTTGAGCCTATTTTTATATATTTTCATACAGTTTAGTATATCCAGTACTAATTTCCCTGCAGCTTGATATGGTTTTTTGTTTATTATTTTTAGTGATTAAAGGGAAGAAAGGAAAGCCTAATGACTAAAAAAACAGTGATTCTGGAATTTGCTGTTTCCACTGTATGTTTTGCTAAAAGCTTTACTCATTCCAATTCTACTAATAAAATTTATATTAATAAAACTTGAGGTTGAAGTAGTGATAAATGTTCCACATGCAATCTAGCCATCTCTACCAGAATTTTTATTCTGCACTATGTATGTAGAAGTGTATCTTCATCTATATAAATATTTCAGGAGCTTCGCAAATATTTCTAAAAGCTTCATATGGATCAACAATCATTGAACTTTTTCTTCACTGCCTTCATAGTAATTTGAAGAATATTTTTCCCAGTTTTTTGCCTCTAGTATTAATACATTACAATTTAATTTATTGACATACAAAGACAACTTAATTGTGTATTAATTTAATGAAAAAATTAAATGTACTTTCCTGGATACTTGCATATATCCTGGATACTATTTAGCACAAAGAAAGTGTATGTGTGTGTGTATTTACTTAATTTCACTGCATATTAAAATGCAGATGTGCTGTCCTTTAAGAAAATCTGAAATATGAAATCTAAACTTAGGAAACACATTCTTCAGGGAATAATTATTTTCCCACAGTAATGTTCTCTGTCATTTCTCTAGTGTTACTGTTTCCTTCAGAAGAATGTGACAGAAGAGCAAAATGGCAGTAAAATATAATACCAGCTACATTGTCTATGCTTTCTTAAATTATCTTGGGAAATTTTTACAAGAGGACGTAAATAGTGGACATTGGAAATACAAAGATTTAACATTTTTAGCTTCATCTCTATATAAATCATGTCTAAGATAGCAAAATTGTTACTGTGCTGACAGTTAAATTCAGAAACACTCTAGAATGCTGCATTCATATCATTTACTTACGAGTCTGCAAAGCTTTTTGCCCAGCATTTCTATAAACATTTCTTTAATTTCTTCTCTGGGCACACAGAACTCTTGTGAAATGTCAACAACACTGTTTTTAAGTAAAAAATGACTCCTAAGAAAGCTGAGTGTGATGATGTAAGAAAACAGAAAGGAGAAAAAGGATTTTACCCAGAACAGTTTTTGTTAAATTAAAAAGTAGTTCTGCAGAATTTTTGCATTGACTAATGTTATTATACTAACAATATAAGATATCATAATTTATTGTGGTGCCAGAATTTACTTAGTTGCTTCTAAAATGACTTTAATTGTCTTGTATAATCATTAAGCGTTTCTGCAAAAGGCCATATTTATCTGTTATACTCTGCTACGTTTTATGGGGAAATTATAGGCTTTGTTTCTACAGGATAAGGACTTTTCAAAAGTATCGCATAAATGCTATAGGTATATTGTGTATAAACCCCAGATGTCACATAAGATAATCAGTTGGGCCATGGAAGAAGTAATAGAAGTTCTATTAATATTTTTATCTTATCTAATATAAAAAAGTTTGATTAACCTTATCTATATAAATATTTCATATGTCAAACTATCATCTAACCCTATGTGCATGAGATGCCTTTATATGATTGGCGTATGGAACTGAGAAATAAAAATTATTAATGTTTCATAAGACACCTACTTGCTGATGCACTTTTTCCATTCTGATGTACCCATTCTTGTGAGGTTATTTTTTGCAAATGTGACAGCCCTTAAAACCAGGTATCTTAAATAAGTTTAGAGGTTGTCATTTGAATTGCTATATCATAAAATGCTAAATCAAGATTATCAAAATAAGAACACATATTCATATACTTTTTTTAGTAATAAAATATTTTAAATACCATATTTTTATTATATTAAATTTCTATTTTGTCTATAATCTACAATTTTTGTAATGTAATTGACCCTTGAAGAACGCAGGGTTGAACTGCACAGATCTATTTATGTAGTTTTTTCCAATAAATATTTCAGTACTGTACGATTCACAGTTGGTTGAATCCCAAGATGTGAAGCCTGAGTTACATACAGAGGACTGACTGTGGGACCTCAGCATCCATGGACTTTGGTATCTGCAGTGGGTCCTGGAACCAATCCCCCTCAGTTATACCAAGGGATGACTGTATATTATACAGTAGTATGTGTATATAATTTACAAAGAAATCTCAGCATTTTTTATATGAGGTGTAAGATCAAAAAAATTGTTTTAATTTATTGGCATATAGTTGATTTACAATTGTATTAGTTTCTTGTGTACAGCAAAGTGATTCAGTTTTATATGTATACATATGGAAAAGAATATGAAAAACTGTGTGTGGTTTTTTCACTATGGTTTATTATTGGATACTGAGTATAGTTCCCAGTGCTATACAGTAAGACCTTGTTATTTATCTATTTTACATATGGTAGTTTGTATCTGCTAATCCCAAACTCCTAATTTATCCCTCCCCAACTCCCTTTCCCCTTTGGTAACTATAAGTTTGTTTTCTGTGTCTTTGAGTCTGTTTCTGTTTTGTAAAGAATTTCATTTGTATCATATTTTAGATTCCATATATAAATGATATTATATTGTATTTGTCTTTCTCTAAAAAAAGTTTTAAGAATGAACTTTTTATTCTGTTTTTACACACCTTGCTTTATAGAGCAAGGTGTATTTGTAATAAATCCACTCA